GCAGGAAGGGCCAGGAAAACCGCTGAGAAATCCCAAGAAGACAAAAGAAAGGTTAGTAGCAAGCCACATAGGCCCCGAAGGGCGAGTCCACTCATTCAAGCGGGAAGCGACGCACGAAGCGCGCTAAGATAGGGGGCCCCCCCCAGACCGACTCCAAGGAGACAGTGCAATACCATGGAGGGAAGGAGGAGACCAGCCGGCCGTGGGCGATAACCGGGGGGAGGGGAAGGTGTAGCAGTAGGGTGCCAGCCGATCCGACCGTAGGGAGAGGAGGGCGGAGGGGTAGACCCAAAGACCTTGAACATCGTCTATCGGTATCGCGTTCGTGTCTGACTAGGCAGCCTCTTAGGGGAACAAGAGAATGGGGAGATCGACCGTAGCCTGTTGGCTGTTCTCCCCTACTGCAACTGTAGTCCCGGCCGTCTGACGATGGTGGTTAAGGGGTTGCCGACCGTGGGAAGGCTAAGCGAGGCCAACCCAAGGGGAGGAGAGGACTCCCCACCACGCGTGGGGGGAGGAGGAAGGAGGAGTAAGGAAGATCATCAACGGCCGCCTGGGCAAAGCATAGCAGGTGTTTTACCGCGTCTCTCATGTAGTCCCTTGTTCTGGGAGAGATAGCATCACTGTAGTGGAAGGGATCCCACCACCTGCTAGCCAGCCGAGGAGGGCCTCCGACTGACCAACCCCCAGGGAGAGAGAGGGCCCTGCGACGGTAGACCGAAGTCAATACCCCGGGCGTGAAAGGATAGCGGAGCCAGCCTCTCCTAGGCCGAGACCAAAGGCAGGAGTGGGCAGGAGGGTGGAGAAAGTTTCGCGACGAAACAAAAAACTCACGATAAAAACCATGGTGTTGAGTTTTCAATCGCCGGAGGTGTAGCGGAGACGGAGGATGTTCTGAAAGCTAAGGAGGCACCTCGATATTTATATTCCGCGTCTGGGTGGTCGCGGGCTACATCTATCTTATACCAAACAATGTACCCTTTCCTATTTCCTACCCTTACTATCCTAATGGGCATCCGCTTGACCCTGATAAACTTTGCGTCTGGCTCGGACCACGGTTTCCATGCGTTGTCGTGTTTCCGTGAGGGTGTTTGAAACCTCTCCGGTGAAAATGCATGATCTCTTCGTCTCGGAGGTTTAAGTACAAGTGAGTGGTCTCGCTTCGAGCCAGCTCGCTGTCCTCCTAACTCTGACTGCAGTGATCAGCTCCGTCGAGAGACTTATCAATGCACGGTTGACTTCGCAACTTGACGACATTAACATTTGAGGACTTTCCGCCGCGATCGGACTAGTCAATGTCGTGGGAAAGTCCCTCAACCATAGCTAGGCCTCCGGTTGGCTCTATACTATGTGAGCGTAAGACTAGGCTCCGTGCCTCGTCCATATGGGCACGTCCCGATAACTCATTGGACTGTTGGTGATTTTGTCCCAACACTTTCTGTCCATGTCTGAGGTGGTCAATCTCGCTTAGCCTGTAGCTCCATCGTTACCCTTCCGATTGACTCCGTTCCACTTTTCAGACACGGCCTGATGTCCCCTCTTATATATCCTGCGAACGGCTTTCGGTCGGACGGACGGCGACGACGTATACGGTGTCATGAAGCATGCTTTGTTTCAACCGGTTTATACTGTCGGGACACCAAATTCCGGCGACTCTACTACTGCGCGCAGGGCAAACGGCGGAGCCGGAGGGGGGTGTTGGCCATGGATTCTTCGCGGTTTTCAGGAGGTCTGTGCGCGGGGAAGGTCTGTGTGTTTATATGTGTAACATAAGCAGAACCAAATGCTTTCCACATCATTAGCAAGCACTCGATATCCGTCCAACAAAACTCCTTCCCGACCAAATCACGTTTCAGAAGTCATTGTCTCTGCTGAAGGCTTAACGGATTTACCCTCTAGTCAATCAAATTATTCAACAAATTCTAC